CCGGGCTGCCTTGTCGCAGGCCGCGTTGTCGCAAGCCACGTGGGGAGCCTCAGAAGTAACGTGGCATTGTAGCTGCGTTACCTGCCGCTCATTTGAGGTTATGGGTATACCTGTTGTCCCGTGGTGATGACTTGCTCTATGGGTAGACCTGCTGTTTCTTGTTAATCTGGTGGTTGCCTGCTGAAGGTTCTCACTGGGGAGGTCTCCTGTGAGTATACCTGTTGTCCCGTGGTGATGACTCGCTTTGTGGGTAGACCTGCTGTCCCTTGTTAATCTGGTGGTTGCCTGCTAAAGGGTCTCACTAGGGAGGGCTCCTGAGGTCCACGATACCTTTCCCACCACAGGAAGGGGCCTCTCGACCTGCTAGAGGCTGTGTCTGCACCCCTCTTGCTGTGGGGGGCTCTAGGCTGCCCACAAATAGGTGATTCACTGGTAGAGGTTGCTGCATGAGTGTGAAGTGGCTTTTTGCAGTTGTCTCTCATAAATCCTCTGTGAAGAGCTCCTGGGGCTGGAGCTCATCACTGGAAACCACTCTTCTGGGTCAACACCAGTCACTAGACTTCATGCATGAATCACTGGACAAAGCCGTGTTATGTAGGTCAGACTGGCTGAAACAAGCTCTTCCCTTGATGTGGCTTGCATGTATTTGAGGCATTGCTGACGGTAGGCATAGTTTTACTCCTTGGATTTTCCAAGTTTTTAGGCAGAGCACTTGCTCTTCTATTCAACAAAACTTTTGGTAATTCTCACTGAGTGCGATGGTGTTTCAGACACAAGGCACATCTGTCTCATCTTGGAGCTCACCTGTGTATGCAAGGTGGCTGTTCCTGGAAAGCTCCTGCCACTGCTCGGATGTTCAGCTGGTGATGGGGCATGGCAGGGACTAGAAAATAGGAGAAAACAAGTGTAATGTGTGAAGAAGATAGGTAAATGAGACCATGAAAACCAGAGGCAGTAGGACAGCAATTGGCTTTTTTGGGGGCAGTGTCCATTGTATCATGGAGAGGTCGGAAGCGTGAATAGATATGGGGTGGTAATAACAGGTTCAATGTAGTAGTGATTTCTTTCTAACTAGACAGAATCTAGTGTTCCTGCCGCCCAGATTGTTTGTAGTTTAAGCAGTGGGCAGCAGGAGAGCATCTTATGGAGTGGGATCCTGGAGCTGCCTGTCCTGCCTGGAGTGAGGAAAATCGTCAAAGCCCTTCGGATTTCTTGAGTTCCCCTTGCAGTCCTGACTCTATAGTTCAGTCCAGCCCAGTCAGTGGAGAGGCAGGATAGTTTTCTCCTGTCCTTGCAAGGGCCGGACAGGGGTTTAGCTCCATATGCATGAATAAGTTTAGCAAAAGTCAGAGCTTGTGATATATGTATGTAGACAGGATAGCAAAAGTCAGAGCTTGTGATATATGCAGGGCATCTCCAAGAACAATTTAGGAACAAGATCTTGTATTTGATCACTGTTTGCTTCCAAGACATTTCAGCCCATTATGCATCACCTATTTTGAATCTACAGAAGATCCATTGCAGGCAAAGCCTTGAGAACGAATAACTTGCATAGGCTGCTCATAATGCTGGGGGGTGGCACTGGCCTCCCCCGAGCGTGGTGAAGCAGTCCAGAGGTGGGAGTCTAGCTGCTTCCCCCTGCAACATCATTAGCTCAGGCGCATTCAGCTTCATCAGGCCCAGTCCCCCTTGCCCAAGGCAGGGCTCTGTCCTCATGCAGATCTGGTTGTCCCTCCTGAGTCCTTCTGTATTGGCCTGGCTCTCAGGAGGGAATTGGGTGCTTACAGTGCTGGACACAGAATGTGCTCTTGGCCGCATCCTCATCTCTCATCTCCATCCATTGATTATGGTCCCATGGTCTCTCTTACTCAGTCACAGCAAGCCTGCCTGCTCTTTTTTTTTTTTTTTCCCCTGCAGGATAGAACTGTATTATAACCTCTGCATGAAAACCTGGAAAATGGGCTGAGAGACTCCCTGAGGAAAGACCTGGAGGGCTTGGAGCAGGGGGGCTGCTGAGACCTACGGAGTTGTCCTAGTGCTGCGGGGAACCGGCATAACCCCTGTGGCAGTGCTGGCGTGCTGGGCAAGTGCATATTTGCTGTATACAATATGTTAACGCAGCATCCTTTCCATCGACTGAACTGCAGGTTCACAACAGTGACTAGAAGACAGCTCTCCTCTGCCTCCTGAAGGGCTCTGCAGCATTGGGTATTCCCTGAATTTTCCTTGCCGGTTAAAGTGTTAAGGATCTCTTGTGCCATCTGACCCCAGTAAATTATGACTGAGCCTTTGCTGTGTTGCATCTTGTGAGTAAATTGCTTGACCTTAGCTAATGGCTTGGAATAAAGCCAGGATGGACACAACTGAGAAAATAGAGATAAGCTGTGCTGGAGAAATAAATCATTCCTATCTTGGTCAAAAATAGGTATCCGCATCCTCTTGGGAATCCTTTTGCCAAGCAGAGGAGCAAAGGCCGGAACAAGAGCTCCCAGGTGCTTTTAGCCCACGGGTTACAATCTGAGGAGTTATCTGAGAGGTGGATTTGTCATTGCCTGAGGGCAGGACAGCATCTTCCTTCCTGCCTGTGTCGCACTAAATGCATAAACAGCACCAGAAAGCAGGTCTGATCCAGCCTGTGCAGCCACTGCCCGTGTCAAGACGGCACTCGGAGCTCAACAAGAGAATCAGCAGATTATCCGGCTAATTACATCCTGTTCTCTCCAAATGAGGCAAGTTTCCAAGGCGTTGCCCTGGTAAATTGGCAGGAGCAGGGGAAGACAAATAAGGTAATTGATAATGAACTGAACTCAAAATCAGCTTGATAAATATTCTTCAGGCTTTGCAGGAACGGTTCCCTTTGATTTCAGCAGGGACTTGCAGGCCAGCAGCACCCAGGCCAAGCATATTCTGAATCCCAATTCCAAGGAGGCTTTTAAAATTCGAATTAGGTTGATGAAATTGAAATGAGGTTTTGCTGGGTTCAACTAAAAGTCCATCGAGCTGAGTATTCCAGAATGGGGAGGAGATGGGGGGTTAACACTGACTAGGGGTTTTTTCTACTTCCTCACCCTTGCAATCCTCTGGATAGGGCATCACGGAGCAGGGTGAGTGCTGTGGGGCTGCTCTGCTTTCTGGGCCATATTTGGGGCATATGAAGGGCTCCATGTTTGTCAGGGCTGGGTGGGACCTGTGTCAGGAGGTCCCTAGGACAGGGAGCCTTGAAGGCAGAGGATCTCACGAGGTTTTTGTGGAAGAACTGTGCATCTAGCACCAAACTCATTTCCCCTCGCTTTGTGTCATGTCCTGCCATGGTGGCTGTAGCTCCTGGTGTCCTTGGAGCATTATAAGGTGCCTCAGCTCAACCATGGGCTGTGTCATCTCGACTCCAGGTCACAGATGCAGCAAGTGCCTCCATTCTGCCCTGCCTGGTCTGTGCCAAGCTACTGTGGAGCCTGGGGGTTGGGGCTGCCCCCATGCAGGTGGTGTAGGGCAAATGCTGCATCCTGATGTGGGTGTCCAGGCTCCAGGGGCTGCCCTGAGCTCCCTTGCGATGGCTGATGCTCACCTGCCAGGTGCAGAGGTGTCTGCCTGCCCCAAACACACACACAAGAGGAGCTCCTGCCCCACAGAGAAGGATCCAGCACGCAGGTGTGTTGTCCAGCCTTCCTGCACAGCTGGACACATCTGTGCTGGACAAGATCTACCTGAGCACGGAAGTGAGTCCTGCAGGTAAATATAACACTGCAGGTCACAAGTAAAGCAGAGATCAAACATGAAAGCAAACGGACGCTGCTCTGCATCCTGACCCAGCTCCTCCCAGAGCTGCTCCTCTTGTGGCTCTCGCATGAAGTCTACACGATGGGGTGCTGCTCCCCAGCTGTTTTTCTGTGAGAAGCAGCAGTGCTGGCTCACGCCGGCAGACCCGCTCCCAGGCGGGTGACCATGCTGGTGCACGAAGGCCACGTGCGCTGGTGCTCCGGATGGCTGCCCGGGCGCTGGCAGCGGCCTTTGCTGATTCATCCTCCCGGCCGCTCTTGGGGACGTGCCCAGCGTTAGGCAAGGCGGGCGCAGGCTCCGACCTGGCGTCAGCGAGGACACCCTGGCCTGGGAGGTGAGTCAGCTGCCATCTGGCCTTGCCATGTGTGCCAGA